CTTTTTTCACTGGATTACAGAAGGGTTGGGAGGATGGAAACTGTCCGGTTATCAGAGAGGAAGAGAAAACCAGAACATCTTAATAGGCACCAAATGCAGCAATTATGTTTTAATTGAATCCAACAGTTTGTGGGCTGTTAAATGACTTGATGTCTTTTAATACTCCACTGGTAGATGCTGAGCAAACAGTCTGGCCTCTTGTCAGAACAAAAGAGACCGCGTTACCCCATGAGGCCAGCCTGCTTTCTCCAGGGTATTTTTAGACACGCAGGAAACACTGAAGACTAAGGAAGTCGGAATGTGGTTGACCTTTTACCTGCAGTGGACCAGAGCTAGTGTCCCTGTGATCCCGTGATGTGGGGCAGAGCTGGGCAACTCAGTTTAGACACCAACCCTTCTTCGCATTTGCCCAGAGGCCCCACCCTGCAGTTTTGCAATGTCCTATAATTACCTCAGACATCACTGAAGCTAAAACAGGGCACGCCAAACTTTGTATTTATAATGAACACTTTTTAAGAGTAATGCTGAGAATTCTATCCTAGTCCTTGACTGCAGGGCCAAACGGGATAGCAAAATGGAGGCGGGCAAGTTACCCCAGGAGGTGCGGCCTCCCAGCAGGCACCTCATGAGGACAGTCTCAGAAAAGCGCCTCAATCCTTCCAGGGTCTGGTCACACACAAAAAGCAATTCACCAACTTTTCCCGCTCATAAGTACAGGACAGCATAATTATGCTTTAAAGCCTTTCTTGCTCAGCCATTAAATAACTTGGATAATTTTGGACCCAGTTCATAGAAAATCTTATATAATATATATTTGCTTCCTTCATAGTTGTAAACCAACAGATGATATCATTTTCCTTTCCTCTTATTTAATCACATGAATCAGAATCAGGCTTTTAATTCACACCAGTTACTGAGCACCCAGAAGGCACCTACAGACATTTTGCATATATTAACTGAAAAACACAAAATTACCCTGCTACCCTAAGACTCCCCTGACAGCATCTCCTCTCTGGGCCCCCTTTTCTTACTTGGTTATCATTCCCCAGCTGGCGGAAATGATTTTGCAAATGCAGCACCGACAGGTGCCGCGTCACTTCTGACGCCAGCCCCATGGCAAGAGCTTGGTCTTGTTGCTGCACAGGATGCTATGAGATGCTGTCTGACGCTCCCGGCAGCGTCTGTGCCCGGCTCCTCCTCAGGAGCTCTGCCACAGCAGCAGGGGGAAAGGCCCCGAGGGGTGGGCTAGCAGGCTGCCCACTCCAGACCCCAGAGGTGAAGCCACTTCAAACACCACCTTTCAGCGTCTACAAGAGCGCCCAAGGCTCTCACTGCTGCCCTTCCCTGGGGGGCATCCTCTCCAGAATGCGAGAGTAGCAGCAGCTTGCCCATCATGTTTCAGCTCGCCTGGTCATTTCTCCTAACAGCCCTCATTTGCCAAGTGTCTGCCAAGTGCCAGACATTTAGACAGAGGGACACAAAGGTAACCAACGCAGAATCATCTGGAACCTTTACTCAGGAGCTTCTATTTATTTGGATTATTTTGTAGAAAATGCATTACTCTCTTCTGAACATACCCTAAAACCAAAAATTTGTTTAGAAATGATAAATTCAAGGGGAACACACAAGAGAGTTTTATTTTTCACTTTCCTCAATGTTGTGTTATTTCCACCAATTGGGCTAGTAAAAATTAAAATTTAGTGTAAAATGAATCATTTAAGATACAAAAACCTTGACTATACTCTTGCAATAAGGGCAAGTCTCAACTCAATCACACCCTCACCTCCCTGTATCCAGCTGCCCTATGGACACCAGCTTTCCATCATGAAAACGAGACTGCAACACACATGGGGCACTTTTCCTCCACGGAGGGTGCCCCAGTTTGGAATCCCACTTCTGGTGGGTCTAAGCCAGCATTGAAACAGTCCTTGGATAACGCAGACACAGACACATGCATAGCCTCTTATTTCACTTATACCTGAAGTACAGAAACCAGAGAAAAGCAGTCTATGTGCCTCGGGACACTCAGCATCTGGGCGGCCGGAGGCGACCCTCGGTGGGGGCACACAGGATGCCTCCCTGCCTCTGGGTCACAGCGCTGCCACACAGGGGCATTCAATTTGGAGATCCCACGTGTCACTGTGCTGACACCTCCGGGAACAGAGCCTCACTGGTCACGTGACTGAGAAGGCACCTGGACAGCCTGGGGGCCACGGGGGCCACGCACCACCCCAGCCACACAAAGGCAACTGTGAGAGGGCGCAGACGGGGGCCCAAGTGACGTGCCCATCCCTAGTCCAGGCCGGTGCTGGTCCCTCTGAGCCCTGGTGTTTGGCGCCATATCTGAACCCTGAGGCGGCCACTCTGTCTGGGCCACTGTGCAACCCTCCCCTGTGGCTCTAACGCAGTTTTTTTGCTTAGAACATAAAATTAAGTAGACAGACAAAAAACGAGTCTATTACAACAAATCTGCACAGCTCTCGCCATAGGCAGGACAGTGTGGCTGGCGAGGCCCGGGGCTCCCAGCTCAAGGTCAGGGCTGGCCGCCCCCCACACCCCCAGCTCACTGCAGATGTCAGGCAGAACACTTCGCTCCTCCAGACCCGTTTCTTCATTTGTAAGTCGAGCGGGTGGGACAGACGATGCCCCAAAATCTTTTGGGTCTAAGTTCCTGTTCCTGAGTTAATTTGTTCAAGTCTAAGAGGCATTCGAACCAAGAGCCCAGGTCTGTGGCTCAAGCCAGCTTCCTTTCCGAGATACGTGCGTACAAAGGCGGCCTAAATTCACATTTCAGACACCGACTGTGTGAGGCAGACACGTTGCCCACCTGTCCGCATTGGGACGCCTGCCCGGCGTGCATGCCTGGCTGGGGCCAAAGGCGATGCGGGAAGCTTGCTCCTGCTGATCTCAGGGCCTTCCTCTCTGCACAGGGGCCTGGAAAATGCTCCCATGTCAGAAAATACGCCAAAAATACATCCAACGCCAAAGCAAAAATTGCTCTGCTTTTTCTAGTTTCCTCCAGGTGAGAAAGAAGAAAAATCAGGCGTTTCATTCATAAGGACAAAATCTAACATCTTTTGCTAAAATGACAAAACTGTACACTCATACAAGGTCCCGGCATGGCTTCACATTTGATAGACACATCTTTGCACTACAGTTCACATCTTATCTGGAAGATATCAAGTCCTTTGGCATATGAAAGGCCTTATAAGCACAGAGTCAAAAACCAACAAGGATTCTCCTCTTGTTCTTTAAATTTCCTACTAAAGCAGAAAGGCTTACAGGCAGGCCACCCCCTGACACGGCACCCTTCAGGAAGGCAGGGCCTCCATGAGGCGCTGGCACAGAGCTCCCGGCAAACCTAGAAACATGTCTGATATTGTAACCTGGCTGACGTTTGTTTTAGAGCAAGTCTCCTGTCACGGCCTGGCACTGGGTCTGCAGAATTCCTTAAAAGACGCTGGGCCCAGCAGGCAGTAATATATCTTACGTCCTGGACGTTGCTGTAACTCTTGAGGACTCATTCAAGTTCACTTAAGGGCTTCCAGAAGTGATGGGGTGGGCTTGCTGGGCTGGGCTTGCCTCCCCTAGACACTAAGCCATCAATTAATAGGCAAGGAAGGGCTCTTAGAAGACAGGTCTGAGAATACATTTCATCAGTCCTTACTGTTGTTTTCTTTGGTGTTGAATCTCCCATTCAGTTTTTATCCCCAAATTCCCCTCTGAATTGAACACTGAGGTGTGGAGCTGACACGCTGCATGACAGGACGGTTCTCTAACCAGGCATTATGGGCCTGCCTGATTTCCCCTGCATGTCAGTGTCCGGGGCTGTGTCCTCATGTTCTCCCCGCCTGGCCCCAGTGGTGTGTGACCTCACTGAGAGCAAGGACAATGTCCCCTAGAGGCAGCTTCTCCCTCTGCCACTTTCTAGGTTTGTAGCTTTTGCGAAACATATTTGTAGGATTTATTGTGCCAGAGACCAGGAATTACAGATAAGCATAGCCAGTGGACAGCGGGCTGCACCCAGAATGGACCATATGGTCAGGAACCCTGGGGCACCAAACGGGGGAGGTGGGGGCCCTGCGGAGGCCAGCCAAGGCCTCCAGGAAGCAGTCCCACCTCGGCTGAGACTCAAACAGGCGCTTGGTGAGCCGGGAGGACCGTGGGACTGGGGGGCAGTGCATGGGGAGCGGGGAGAGGACATCTCTGGCCAAGACGGAAGGGCCCAGTCTGAGGGCGGGCGGCCACCCTTCCCTCACATAGTAAGGGTGGCGATGGTAAGTGCTGAAGTACGTGCTGAGCTGGGCTGCGCAGTGATTCCTGCCACTGCCCCACCGCCCCACCTTCCAGGGGGTCCCCCATAAACAGGACCCTAAATTCCACTCAGTGTTCATTATCTCTTATCCAAGTGCCATCCGCACCTTTATTTGGGGGCCCCGTGGAGTCTCTTCACCAGCCCATCAGCAAGGTGGCACTTGGGGCACGCTGACTGTGCAGTGGGCAGCCTGCTGCATTTTGTAAATGGTAACAGCAGCCTCTGCGCCTGGCACCATCAATCCTTTCAGGTACATTTGTGACTCTCTTCTAATTCTTGCAACCTCTCAGTGCGGGACTGCACACCATTGCCCCTGTTCTGCAGGTAAAGAAGCTGCAGCTCAGAGAGGCTGGGGTCACCCGGTGGCAGCTGAGGGGCAGCACCAAGCCCAGAACGTGGCCTCCAGCCTGGGCCTGCAGGCTCTCCACGCTTCGCCGCAGCACAAGGGCGAGCACACCAAGCCTCTCTCCTTCCTTGAGCTCTTGCTCTCCTGGGGAAGGTGGAAGCTCTACTGGAATTAGGAGTCACGCAAATGCAGCTTGACCGGCAGCCTCAGGAGGCAGAGTGCACGACACGAATGCCAACAGACCACAGTCCCTGCAGAGACGCTACTAGGACTGTGCTTGCTTCGGGGAGCTCCCTGTTCCCCCATCACAGGCGGCTCTCCGTGTGCTGTAAGATGAAACTGAGGCGAAGGTGAGCTGTGCGGCAGGCCCGGCGGGTGGAGCCGAGGTGCATTCACTATCGCCGTGGTCCCTGGAGCAGTGCTGTCCTCACCCTGCAGGCTGGGGTCACACTCAGGTAACTTTCTTCTGTGGGTAGCATAGGAGGAAGCATTTCAGTTCAGGCGGCTATGGATTCACTCCCCAAACTCTGCGACAGGAACTCGTGCAAGCCCCAAAACTTCATGCCCGCTGCAGCCTACGCATGTGGACAGGCCGGCCCAGCCGCCCCCTCTGAGAAGGGCTGTGATGGGCAAAGGTGCCCACTGGGCTCCGGATCCCACTGGGCCAGGGGGCAGTGAGGTTGGTGGGACAGCCCTGCAAATCAGAGCAGGAAAACAAGGGCCAGAAGGTGGGCATAGCAAGGAGCGGGGGCCGGACACCCCGGCACACTTCCATTCAAGCTTCAATCTTTCCATCAAGGTCCTCCTTCAACAGCAAGGATGCCTAACCTACGCTGGTCAACCCTCTGCTCTGGCCGCAAAGTGTCCTGGAAAGGAGAAGAGGGCTGTGAAGCAAGGGTTTGGACCCAAGTCTTCAGGAGGAGGCATGTTTTGACCCTGAGCTGCAAGATTCCCAGTGTCAAGGAACAGGAAAAAGGAAGCGTTTGGTTTTTGTTCTTAAACATACGCTGCAATTTTATACTGATGGCTTCCTCCTTCCCTCATCCAACCCCCCACCCCGCTGTGTGGAATACCAGCTGCACCCACTGTATCCACAGTCACGGAACCTGAGGCTGTTTCCATTAGACTCTACACTCTGTGGGGGACAGACCGGGCCAAGGCATGAGACTTCCCATGAGCAGAAAAAGGAAAACAGGCACATGAGACCAGCCCAGCGTTTGGGCATTCACAGCAGCAATGACTCAAACAAGACTGTAACAAAGGGGGATGTGTGACTGGGTCAAAAATGCAGTGACTTGGTTGAAAAAATCAAAGGGAAGTGAATTGGATCCCTTCCGGCCAACGAGAGCTGAGGGCCGTGTGCAGCCTGGTGGCAGCCTGCCCTCCCTTGGGGCTGCTTGAGGGATTAGGTAAATATAAACATCTTCAAATAACCCAAGAAGTGAGAAATTGAAAGCATGACAAGTCGGAGATGTCATGGGTGATATATTTAGAAGAGCTTAGTTTGCAAGCTAGAATCACAGAGCAGTGAGTTGCAGCCAATGAAAAGCATTTAAGGTCAAGTTTCTGTCACTGCACGGGGTTGCAGCCTTTGACAAAAAACCAGAAGAGACCCACATTCTCCAAAGAGCAGGCGACAATTTTAATAAACTGGCTCGTTCACCACTGCCCCAATGGCCAGTTTCCGCATCGAGACAGCTCAGGATTTCAAAGGGAAGTGGCTTATGAAAGAACTGCCATGAACCCAGAAGCATTTGATGGGAAAACTGCTAGACAAGGGGAAGCTGGCTCTGTACGCCACTTAGCTGCACGTGTTTTTCAAGTGGGGGCTTCTCAAAAACGGTAGGCCCTTTCAAACCAGATCCTGCTGCAAAGCCCTACACTTGCGGAATAGGCTTGGCCTGCGGTCAGCCAAGCCCAGCTGCCCTGGAGCCACACGGCCACCTGGTTGGCAGGGCAAGAGTGACGCTCACTTCACAGGGGAGGAAACGGGGACCTGGGGAGGTTGAATATATCAATAGGATTGCGTAGCTGTCCGTGCAGGACTCAGATGGGAGCCCTGTTTTAATTCGAAGCCCATGCATTTTTTTTCTAGGCCACGTGTCTCTCAAAAACATCAAGTCTGAGCTCAAAGATGTAAAAGACCTGAAATGATTCCAGCTTTCTTGGCTGACATCATCACCTGTCTCCTAAGCTGCTCATCACTACCACAGCCTCGTCCGCCTCTGCTGGGGCACTGCTCACCCCACGCACGGGACTTTCCAGAAGGCTCCACGCACACCGCCTCTGTCAGCCCTGGAGCGGTGATCACATCACATTCCCGACTTTTCCCATCAGGTTTTGCTGTTGACCCTTCCTTCCGTATCTGACTTGCCTGACTCACAAGACTGCACACCTTTGGGTGGGAGAACCTGTGGGTAAAATTGTAACATTTCCAGAATATCTCGCCTGGCTTTAGTGCATCTGCGTATCCTCAGGGGTGGAGAGAAGGTCATCTCCGTGTCAGTGGGTAATTACCTGCACAACTGAGGGCATGTCTGAACCTGAGAGTTTAAGGGGAGGGCCTGGCTTGGTTGCTTCCTCTGGAGCAGGGGAGAGAGACAGCCCTGGACTACAGTTTGTAAGCAATAAACAGGTTTTAAACTTCATTTCTCCCTTTGACTGATTTTAGCTTTTAGAGGTATTTTGCCCCAGGATTTCCTTTTCCTGGATTTACAGAACCACTCACGGGTCCCCTTTGTGAACCACCTGCCTTCCCCCACCTCCGGGCACTAAACTCACACACACAAGATGCTCGCTAAGTACGAACTGAACCCAAAAGAATTGGTTATTCTTGAATGGCTCTGTTCTCTATGGGGAATTGTTTCTGGCACTCGGTAACTTGAGCACTGCAATGAGGTGCGTGATACGATGTGAGAAATTCATCAATTTCATAGGACAGGACACTTCAGTTACATGAAGTTCGAGTTGCTGATTTCCTTTAATTAAAAAAAAATTCTATCTTAATTTAATCTGCTGTTTTGCCAGCCTTCCCCTCTCTCATGGGGAACAGTGGGAATATTGTGACAGACAAATAATAATAGCTAATATTTATTGTGTTTATCGTGTACAGGAAACATTCTAAATTATTTATATTTATTATTTGATTTATTCCTCATAATCACTCTCCTCAGTTTACAGAGGACGAAGCCAAGGCACGGAGCAGAAGTGTCCGCCCGAGGCCGCACGGCCGGCAAGCAGCAGGCTCAGACCCACCCCAGAGGCCACGTCTTAAATTCATCACTTGGTACAATTACAAAAACAATTATTCTGTACTCTTTTTTTGATGTGGTTATTGAGATGTAATCACTTCACATGACTTTACTTCAGTTTTCACAGACTCTTTGAGATGAGGGACATGGTTCTGGACACAGCACGGCACAGGCTCCGTGACTAGAGCATCACCTCCGCTGAGGCCGCCTCCGTGGCCTCTTCTAAAAGTACCATCCTCAGGTGTTTTCACATCTTTCTAGAACTCAGGATGTGCTTTAAAACAAATGTTTGCAAATGCAAAATATATGTGCCTAAACCCATGCCTTTAGGAGATATAAATGCACCTGGAACGTGGCTGGCACCTGTTATTAGGTCACTGAATATTTGATGGCCAGTGTATGAGTGAGTGAATGGGTTGCCTAATAAAGGAATCAATGATCAAAAGTTCCAGAAAGTGAATGACTAATAAAGTTATGAAGTTCGAACTGATTTGGAGAACCTGGTAATAAATGAACCCAAAGAGGAATAAAAGGGCAGCACGGTCTCACTTCGCAAGAGTCATCGCCCACCTGACCCGCTGTAGCCATGTCTCTATCAAAATGCAACTGATATTTTCCAAAAGTACATTGTATGAAGTCACTTTAAGAACGAATAAAGCCCCCAGCCAATCGTAAGGGAACCTCAATGAGCTCCCACCCAGAACCGAGGAAGGAAGCCTACGGTCAGGGTTTTATCTTCACTTCCCATGCTGTTCAAAGAGCCACATCATGACTCTTGCTCAAACATTTGCAAGGAAGTATTGTGACTGTGAAAGTGGATACTTCAAATGCCTAAGCTAAATATTTACTTTCTGCCTTTCTGATTGAACAATTGACTTTGTTCTTCAGCATTTAGGCCAAAATCCTTAAAAGTCATAAAACATCAAGAAGAAGAGGATATGGTTTTTCACTAGATAGTCTAAACTTACCAGTTAGCAAAATCTTCACAAGACAGAGTTGGACAATTAAAAAATGTTAACGCATACACAACTTGAAAATAAGAAAAGAAAGAGAGGAAGGCGGTGGCCATTTATTCTTTTTAGCATAAAAACACACCTCTTCCACTTCCCTGTGTTTATGTAATTAAGACTTGCTGAGCATTTACATCCATGTACATCATTATAACAATAACCTCAATTGCTGACTTCAAGTAGGATTTACTTCAAAGGGACCCTGGGGCTGGCATGCATCGATTTATCCATTTTCATAGCATCCCTGTTACGTGGGCATGTGACAAGCATCTTACCTCTATCACATAAGACTAAAACTGGAGGTACTAGGAGTCACATAGCTGTTAACTTGTGACACTTAGCCTAGAGCTCACGTCTTCCTTTAACACAGTGAGGTGTTCCCACTAGGTTCTCCTGCCTTTATGTAAATTTAGGCAGGCAGGGCGGGAAAGGCTGACCCCTGGGCAGACCCCCAGAAGGGTTTGGGGGATTGGATCACCTGACCCAGCAGCAAGAGACAGAAAAGCAAGGCTGAGAACCATGTGTATTTTTGTATTTTGGATGCATTCATTGAGCAACATGCAAATTCCTGTTAACAGACCAGTGAGACAAGTGGCAGGAGAAAAGGTGGGAAACGAGTGTGCTCAGCACCAGCTTCTTTGAAACCTTGCCGGCCCCACGGCAAGGTCAGCCAGTCAGAGCTCCCCGAGGGGTGTGGGAGTCGCTCCTGCGGGCGGGCCCCGAGGGGCAGGTGGCTCTGTGCCAGGAGGCTACGGCCAGGTGTCCAGCTGTTCTGAACCCACCACAGTCATGACACGGGAACGGCATGTTCTTTAGGAGCAGAGCCGCCCGAGGGCCCCTGCTGCAAGTCACCAGGAGGCTTCTCTCCCACCCGACTCGACTGAATCACTTTCTTTCACTGGCTCACATTACTGGTGGCAGGTTCCACCTGTTTCAGTATTTGGCTGATGACAGAGTGACCCTGATTGCTGAGCAACGTGGGCAGCTGAACAGGCTTCTGGACTAGCTGTCCTCACCGAAGGGGTCAGGACGTCCCCCGGGTCAGGAGACGGTGTCCCGACAGGCCCGTCGTCCAAAGCTCAGCCAGGGCTGGGTGCAGGCCCCGAGTGAAGGGCAGCAGGAGAGGAAGAAAGACTGAATCACAGCAAGAACACGGGGCCTGAAGACCCTGAGGAAGAGCAGCCCTCCAAGATCTCCAAAGCAGACGCCCGAAGCAAGCCCCCCACGAATCCCGCTGACCCTAGAATTTGCTGGGAGGAAACGGGCTTCTGCCAAATGAGGCACCTTTGAAAGAAGAGAGAAAATCCTTTTCTGCCGCCCTGAAATTCTCTTCCTGGTTCCCCTCACCCTTGCCCCCCGTGCAAACACCGTCACCCGTTCCGCGTGTTGACCGCTGTATTCCTGCACGTAATGCCAGGAGTGCAGTTCTCCCAGCACAGCCCCCGAGCGAGGGGAGAGCTCTACCTGTTCTCTGTCTTCACCTTGCGAATCCACGAGAAGGGTGCCAGCTCCCAGGGAAACCGGGACCGATGTCAGGCTGTGGTAAACAGGTACCCGCAGAGCAGCTCAGGAGCCCAGGGCTCTTAGTCCGCCCTTGCCACATGCCCTGTGTGGCCTTATGCTAGTGACTCAAGGGCTCTCCGCTTGCTTTCTTCCCATCACACCTGCTCACATCTTCCTCTCGATGCTGATGAATAACAGGGAGCCAGGCACTCAGCCTGGAGCTGCTGTTTGCCCTGTACCTGGCCACGCACATGAACTGCCCTGTGTCACCCCTGAATGACACTCTACCCTGTGCCCTTCTCTGGGGTGAGCAGACTCGCAGGAAAGGAACACAACGTGGGCAAGGCCATCAGACTCCAAGTCAGCCCTTTACAGCACTTATAATAATGAACGGTCTTCATCTCTCTGACATCGAGCCCTTCACTAACAGGATGTATAATATAGAACAAGAATAATTTCATGACTAAGAATTATTTCAACTTCAGAACTGTCAGTGAATTCAATGATTATGTGGCCTTGTAATTGTGTATTATGTCTGAATAATCTGTGACTTTCTTCATACCTTTCTTCAGCTGCTACAACACTAAGAGTTTCCTGATATTAAAACACCTGTAGTTAGGGCAGAACGTTAAATGCCACCATGACTCAGTATTTCCCTGGTTGAGAAAGATGTTATAGGTGACCTTCCATGAAATGGTATTTATGTACTTCTTATAATCTTTAAGATCATATTACTACTAAATTTTCATCCTCAGCAAAACTTTGAGGAAACAGCAAATACATTAAGGAGGCAAATGTCACTGTATCTCCTTATCAAATGGGGAAAACGGCGCAGAAAAACGGGCAATTCACCATAAACCACACGAGCCAGCATGTTTCACGGCACCTCGCCCAAGATCGCGGAGCTGGTCAGAGAGGCCTCCTGCCCACCCCCAACCAGGCGCCCCCAGACCCACACTGCTCGTTCAATTCACACCGCAGAGGGCTCACCCCTTCACTCAGCAAAGACACACTGAGAACCTACCAGCAGGCAAGGCCTGGAGCAGAAGGCAAATTCCCGTGAGCCAGAAAACATTAGGCTCCTCTCCTCCCAGTGGGAGAAAAGCTCAGGAGTGAAAATGAGCAGGGAGTAGGTGAGGAGGAGCCTCAGCACAGGCTTCAGGCCTGCACACCCCGGGCCAGCCTGCCCCGCCCTTCAGCGTGTGGTCTTGGGCTTCTGCTCCCTCGTGCATGAAACCGAGCGCTCCTCAGAGGGTTCCGTGGGACTGAATGCATTTCTTTTTTAAAAGCAGCCCAGACAATGGTAGCACGTACTACATCTGCCAACCAAATTGGACCAAGTGGGAGAAGCACCTACGGTCCATTTCTCATCATCCTCCATCAGACAGATGGTGGGGCTCACCCCCTGCCTCCTGCACACAGGTGGGGAAGCTGTCCAGTCACACGGGGCCCTCGAGGCCTCACTCAGCGGGCTCCTCACACTCCCTCCCTCCCTCTCTCTCTCTCTCTCTCTCTCTCTCTCTCTCTCTTTCAAGCCTCCTTTCTCCATAAACCATGCCTTTGAAATTCCCTAGAGTCTGTGACTCACCCACTAGGTCCAAACTTGGGCACATTCCTCAAGAAAAAACTCAGAGCCTTGCATTTGGTCCATGGTAAGATACCAGACTAGCCCAGAACTGCTAAATGAAAAAACAAAATAAGTGCGTTGAGAGCTTTCCCAACACACTCTTCACCTATCGTCCCCAAAATTCATTTAACCCTTAATAATGTGGAACATGACATGAAAAGCGACACAAATCCCAACCCTCGTGAGCTCTCCAGAGGACACAGATGAATATGTGAACAGAGCGACAGACATGGAGACACAAAGGCAACTGGGGCTATTTAAAGACAGGCACCTGTTCAGCAAGGCTTTAAGGAAGCGCTCTCAAGGGAGATGGGGTGATGGGCGGATTCAGGGTGGACAAGACAGAGCAGAGCCGCTGGGAGACGGCAGGGAGGGGCCCG